CGCACAACTGGAATTTGCTGCTTAAACAGTACTTATCAAATTTCTTATGCAATGTAGTTGATGCCCACCCATAAACCTCTTTATGTGCTTTTGCAGACAGACATACATATACATATATATATAAAGGACTTAATTTCAATCAATTACTCCTTAGCAGAACATACAAAGATCTATTTTAGTCCCACTATATTTGTTGCTTTTTACAAAATGAGTTAAATTCAGTTGTCTCGTTGCTTTCGAGCTGGTCCTGATTCTCTTACTTGAGATAAACTTATGTTTGAAATTCAAATGCAGAGGCATTGATCATGCAGTGGCTAACAACGAGGTCCCCTTAAGATCACATGAGCTACCATCACTGTTGAAACAGGTAAGATAGACCAAGATGCAAACGGAGTAATGAGCTTCTTAAATTTATAACGAACATTGAAACTGCAGACATATGCTTCCTTTCGAAGCTGCATTTGTGTCTTAACTCTAGTTTGCTTAATGTTTTTAAGCTATCATTCATAATCTAATGTAAGTAGATAAAAGCTGAAAATAAAAGTGGATGCTGTGGTCTGTTCACAGTGTAAGTGCAGCATCTTGATGCATCCACTGTAGAATATGTTGAATATTTTTTGAATCTAATGGGAGTGTGTTCTGGAGATTTATCATCTGTTTTCATGTGCCTCAAGGTGTACAAGTATAGGAATGACTTTTCCCTCCAAGACGCTTCTATGGTGTTGCTGATGTCTGTCAAGGTATACCAATCTTTCATGTTTCCTCATAAAATTTGTCATATTAGTTTCCAATATGAAAACCTGAAGTCATAGCAACTAAACTTCTAATTCCAGCTTGTATACCTCAATTCTACTTGCACATCCCAGAACTTGTATGCAGTTTATACTTTTGCTACCATTTATTCTCTTTTAGTGCAGGATATTACTGTATTTCTTCCCGAGTATTATGGCTCGCTTTGCATTGTTATAATGTTGTGGTCATTGATATACAAGTGCTGTATGTGCAAGTTCTGTGATTTTTCTACACCTTGTATTTGAGGTGCTGACTAAAATGTTGCCTGACTTTTACTTGTGCTGGACCCCCCATTAATTTCACTATCATACTCACATCTTCTTGACCTCTTCAACCGCAAAGGACCCCTATTTCTCACCAATAATAAGCAAGCAAGTAGCAAACAGTCCTCAAACACAACCTACTACATCTTATTGTTGCTTAGATGGTTACATGATATCGGTATTCCAATGCAGCAATTCCAGATGTGTTGGTAAAGCAATTAAGAATCCCCTTTCCTAATAATGTTCTCTTGGTTATTTTCTTTATCGGAGGGAATAATTAGGAAATTATAGTTTCTAACAGAGTTGGAATAAGATTTATTATTTCCTTGTAACAAATGTTTCACAAATTAGCTTCTGAAACTTGGAACTACAAATCCTGTTATAGATAGGCATAACTAGTATGGTAGCCAAAGTAACCTTTCTAGGAGCACATAGATTTCTTTATATTGAAAAGGAGGTGATTTTGAAAATTAAAAGCCAGAAGTATTGTGTCCAGGTTAGAGAAAATTTGACTTTCAGCATACTGTTAATATCTGTGCGAATTAAATAACAACTTGTTAGTGTATTGAATAGTAAATAGTCTCCCACAGCAGGCGTCAAAAATTTATGTGCCATTTATTTGGGTGGACAGCGACGAATCTGATCTGCTCTGTAAAAAAAAAAAAAAGAACACCCCTATGAAGATACTTACTGGTGCTACTCCATTCTTAAAATCTACGAAAATAACTTTGTACTGTATTAGCGCATATAGAAACATATAGTTACTCAGATGATTATTGATTTAGATGGTTATAGAGCCCAATCAAACAAAAAACAAAATCAAATTTAGTATCCTCTCCAGAAGATGAGTTCTAAAACATCTATGATATATGGGCGGGGAGTTAGGTTGGGTAAGGGAGAGAAAGGACAGGATAGTTTTTCTGGTAATTTACTAGAAGTAAGGAACACTGCTTAGTTAGAGGGTTAGACGTGGAATTGTTCTTGACTTCTAAGAGATCTACAGACCCGTTATAACATTCCTCTCACATGATAAATCAGATAAAAGTGCAAATATGCTTCTCTCTAAATACTGAGTTCTTTTGTGAACCAAAGAAGAGATAAGTGGTGGTTTAAATTGTTTCCAACATTCTGAAGAAATCACTTTATCATGTTCATTTCCATCCGAAATGTTGCAAAGCTGCTTAGTCTTGTACTTAGTTTTCACTAAATGGATTTGTTGCATCTGTGTCCTGATCAGTGTGCCTGCAAGGTTGGGTGGTTTCAGAATGAAGATACCAATGATCTGCTTAAACTTATCCAGGAGGTAAGTGAAATCTGTCATGTTGATCCTGCTCTTTGGTTTTCAATGACTTCGTATCTCGTGACTTTCGATCTTATTTTTGGGATCCTGCTCAGGTTAGCAGATACTTCTCCAGTGCTGAAGATATTGGTGTTGACCCCAGCTACATCCACCCTTATGTTTCAAAAGTATTAAGAAGGTCTGTACTTATAATGTGTTAGCCATGTCATTACTAACTGCACCTCTATTTTTAACAGTTCCCTTAATACACATGAAGATTTAGAAGGATATGGTGTGACATCTCTAGCCGTGGTAGTTGGTACTGCCAATTTGACAATTAAACTTTTGTTCTTCTGATTGGCCGTTCTTTTTTTTTCTCTTGAGATAATATGATTTTCCTCTTTCTTTGTTAGCCATCAAACTGCTTTTACTAAAGCAAGTTATTCCTTATTGTTTACTCATGTGTCATGTCCTAGAAATTAACTCGGTCAGTTTATATTTTTTTGTCAATACATGGAGCTCACACTTCTATTTCCCTCAACAATCACCATCACCATCCCATTTCCGCAGTTACTTTCACTTTAGAATAATGTCAAAGCCTCTTTGTAAATGCAGATTCTCTCCAAAGCTGAAGATGGACAGGATAGTAGCTGCTTTTCAAATCAAGGCAGGTTAATTTGTCTACTAAATGGTCTTGCTACAATTTGAAACCTTGGTGGTCTTATTGGTTATTTTTGCATAGCCTGGATTTGGAGCTTTTCATGCTGATTTCCACATTTTAAGGGGAATGGTCACTCCAGGGAAGGACGAAATAGTAAGTGCCTTTGTTTAATCCTTTGAGGTGTAAAAGCAAGATGGTTCATCTGAAGCATGTTGCTTATAGTTGAATAAGAATTTAGTGTTCTATGGTCCGGCCCTTCTCCGGACCCGCGCATAGCGGAGCTTAGTGTGCCGGGTTGCCCTTTTTTTTTTAATTATTAATATCTTTTCTACTCTGAAACTGTTGCTGTTCTCTCTCATACATTTTTGCAATCTACATTTCCTGAGGGTCCTGGTTCTTGTGTCCAATTGGCCCTTACATTGTTAATTGTTTCACATATTTTGGCTTCACTAGTGGGGGAATTCCAGAATATGAATCTAGAGTACTGTCGCAGTTCTTTTGCTTCAGATCATCACTACCTTCCTCTACTGTCCTCTTCTAATTAAATAACGCTAGTCATCCAGTAGCAACTACTATGAGCAGTCAGGACTGGAGAAAAGAAGTTAGGTCTTTATTTTCGTACTTTTACTACTTTAAATATACTTAAATCACACTGTTTGAGCTCTTACATAATACTAGTACTATTTTTTTCATGTTCCAATCTTATTGGCTAAATTTCATGCAGTTGCTACTTGTAACAAATGTTGACAATATGGAGACAGCATCCCGCATCATTGCTCCACCAGAAACAACGTATAGCCTACTTTAATTTATTCTACTTTGTCAGCTTAAACTCTAATCCTCCATTCTTTCTTTGGTGCCGGGGCCTAATTTTCAACTCTACTTGACTGTAGCTTTCTTTTAAATGGAACACGGCTGGAGGGGAAGACTAAGGTGTCCCTAGTCTGTTTCTCCCACCAACTAATTTCTCTCTCTGAAAGATTTTCTTGCTATCAATTTTGGGAGTTGATCAATTAGTGTTACTGCGCAACTCATTCAATCTCCATTATCTTGAAATTTTGCAGGACAATATGCAGCAGCTTCCTACCAACATCACCAAAATGCTCAAATATGGTGTGAATATTCTACAAGTGGTCGGACAATTTAATGGTAATACCAAACTTATTCCCTAAGGATACCATTTTTCATAATGAATGTGCTTATCTATTATGCTATACTATGGAGAAACTTTTACAGGTCATTATATTGCTATAATTGGCATAATGAGCTTACTACCATCTTTAGAATCTCAAGGGATAAAAGATTGTAGTGGACCTCTTCCTTTAGCTCGTTCAGGTAAACCGAAATAAAAAGAAACAACCATGATGTATGCACTTGTATTTGAGTCCATTTAGGTGAATATGTTTGATAGTTTGTGTAAGGAGATGTTTTGTATAACTTGAAGAACTATTTGCTCCTACTTCAACGCAGATCTAGAAATTGTTGAGAACTCATCGAGAATCTCGCTTAATTGGGCCTTCAGGTAAATTATCATATGATACACAATTTTTCTTAGTTCATGCCTTGCCTTCTCTACTCTTTTTTATATTTATGGGTAAGTGTTTGAATATAAAAATGCCATGTAGGGCACACACTATATTTATCTCTTAGATTTTCCCTACCAGATGATGCTCACCTGGAGGGAAGCACAGTCCTCTTGCTACATAATTTTTGGACCCAGTCCCACTAATCTGAGTTAATTATATGGCTACAAATTTTTGAGTTGTTTCCCTCTTGGATCAAGTTGGGTCGCTTGCTGCCAGTTGTGTCTAATGATGAACTCGATATCAGCCTTGGAAAGGTTGAGTTTAGTTTCTCCAATTAATTTAAGGAGCCCCTCTGATTCTATTCGTTGCTAACTAAACCTATTAAAATATACTCCTAGGCGAAAACCTGAGGATTGTTTCTCCTAACGCAACTTAAAAGTAAACTCACTTGGAAAGTATATTCATTAAATGAACTTGCAGTTGTATCTATAGGAAAGATATACGTAGTCAAATACACTTACAAACTGAGATAAATGTTGGTTTGTAAGTCCATCCAAAGATAAATGTCGAATCATCATAACTAGAGTTTCATCACTGATCAATAATCAAGTTTGCTAGCTGGTTTACTTGCATATTGGTGATATGATTATTGTTTGGGCGTGCATTTGGCGTCTGCAAGCCTGAGTGTTTCCGTAGGTTTATTTGATGTCCTTTTTGAGACTAATGGGAAGTACAACTATAATGCTACCGATTATTAGTGATAATTCTTTTTTGCGTTTCTGTTAATGGTATAGTGCTTGATTATCACTACTTGGAAATTCATGCAACGATACCTATTTGGCAGTTCCTCAAAGCATAAAACCGGGATGCCATCAAGAACTAAGGATTTATCGAAATATTGATAAGTTAACTCATGTTTTAGATCTCCTAGCAATTCTTGCCAGGTCTTGAATGAGGGAGGCAACGAGGTTGTTCATGAAGTCGCATCCGGAAATGGATCCTGGAAACCAATTGTACAAGACAAAAGTGTCTCAAGTCAAACATACAGCAAAAGCCAATACATTGAGCAACTACGGCATGAAAGTAAATACAGCCTGAGCGCTGCAACATTGGATAAAATTCAAATGCCAAAGCCTAGGATACTTGTGCATGCTTCTGTTCCAGTTACATCAGTGGAAACAAATGCCCCGGCAGGCTACAGTCAACAACCTCGAAGAACCTTTCTGGCGCCATCTTGTCTTGCAACAACTGAAGAAACCTCAGAAATGTATTCTGCCATGGTTAACCAGCTTGATGAACAAAGGATAGATTTGAAATAAGAGAGCTTATTGGCACCAAGAACAAATTACTGGATTCCCTCCGGTAAAACGAGGGAGGGGCAGCCTTAGTAGCAGACCCTATTCGGCTATATTCCAAATTTCCAACAATTTATGTTATTACACTGTGTGATCGATAGTATCCTTTTCATTCTGCGTGCTGTTTTCACTGCTTTATTTAACATGAAGTTATTCACCTACAATAGATAAATTCCGTGTAATTAACTGTCTAGAATCTATTAGCTATTTTATTACTTCAACATTTTGTAAAAAATCAACTATTGCTTAGTAATTTTTAATTTCTACTTCTAAAAATAAATATAAATTAGTTCACGATTTCAATTTCAACTGGTTAACTTGACTCGAAGAAAGATTGCTTGTCTAATTTTCATAGATCTAGTGGTTAGACATTTTACCTAAATGATTAATCAATTGAATTGATCCAAACCAAATGAGGGTTGGTGCGGGACAGATAAGAACAGAGAAGGCCGAGGAAAAGGGGGTTCCTAATTATTTAATGTGATTTGCGAAAAGAGATCATGAGATGCTTTAGAGTGTCCCAGTGACATTACTAATTGCCGAAGAAGGTTCGATGCTCGAAGATGAGATCTTTGATACCATCCTCTCTGTCACAAACGATGATGATAAAATGCATAAAAACCTTTCTGATATGGAAGTGACTTCTTGTCCTTCGCTAAGAGGAATGCACTTCTTAGACTAGATGAATACACATACACTTGTCGTTTTCACTATGGTGTGTATCCATGGGTTGTAAGATGGGGAGGTGGGGACGAAAGGATAAGAACAAAGAAGGGAGTACTTCTTGCATAAAGCATAGATGAGAAAAGGTCCAGAGATATAATGAGGCAATCCTTGGGCAAGACATTCTAGACAAGCTCTTGTAAAATTCTAAAAGCCAACAACAATTCAACTACTTCTGTTCCACTGCATTTAATGAAGGCAAAATGTGGTATATGTAGTTCTTGCCTTCTTGATTCTTTCAAACTGCATATAAACTACTGAAGAGGACATTCAGCAACGACATGTTCATTGTAATGGCTTATTTTCGTTATAAAATCTTTTGAGCAGGTGGGTGCGTGGATTGGGGGTTAAAGATATCTAAGACACAGTAACCATGCACGGCATAAAATATTTATTGAAAGGTTTACAGGAAATAAAAAGAGAATTACCAATAAATTCATCAGCATTATCTAAAGCCTTCGACACTGTAGAGAAAGTGTTGATGGTGGCCAATAGAGTTAAAACAGGGGCTTCTTTCCATTTAACATAGCAAGCAAATGATCCAAAACTTTACTTCCGGCATCTCTCAGACCAGAGTGCATGTACTCATTAGTAATCCAAAGCCTGATTCCTGCTATTTGAGAAGCAGTCTCCTTAGATAGCTTAAAGTTAACATACATGTCTTCATAGTAAACAGCAGCTGCAACTGGTACCTATATATAAAAAGAGCCCAGGTGTAACATGAAGTATAAATCCTTCAATCAGGTTACTGTCACTTCTTATCTATTATAAGAAGTGACAGACGTCAAAGTAGATTAAAATCCTTAACATATTGAATGACACGAGCCTGAAATTGTCAGCTTTAATAGAAATACCACATACCTTGTTATCCTCTAACGCAGCAATATCATATAATGAAGGCCAATCCTTCTTCTCTGCTAATAGCTGGGCCGCATCTTTGAATGGCCTCAAGGCATGGACTTCATCAAACAACCATGGGAATATCATCTACATGTTAAATTAAAAGGCGATCAACACTCTGCTCAATATACGAAAAGTTCAAACTTTCTGTTTTTCACCTAAAATAAACAAAGGGGTCTCTTAATTCCAGCTGAAAGAAATAAATGCATTCTGCAAATTTTTGACCTCAGATCAATGGTCCGTCAGACTAAATGCAAAACAAATCCATGTGATATCAGCTGAATGAGTGATTTATCAAAATGTCCATAATAAAGAAGTGTAGGCTTTATTAAATCACAAAGACAAACCTCACAACTCTGATCAACAATAAGCACCTCATGTGGGCCAGAGAAGCCCTTCAAACCCAGTACATTAAGCATGATTTCAGTAGTTCTCAGAACAGGTCCGTGGAGTATGCCTTGGGTTATGATTTCGTCCCTGATATATTGGTTGTTCATATGTCGTTCCTATTCAATCACATTGTTTAATTGATCTTTCCCCCAATCCCCAACCAAATATCCATGACTTCTTGGAGCAGTATGCAGTTGGAACTTTCTTATATTATTTTCCCCAGATGTGCCTCACAGGAAAAGTGTTAACTAAGGAAGATTTGACATTCAATCCTGTTGAACTCTAACAATAGTATTTCTTTGCATTTGTCCTCTGAGGTTTGAACTCTCACCACTGAGGGTCTATTCTCTCTTTAGTCATTCAAAAATCATCATTTCCAGCAATTTGAACCCTTAGCACCATAATTAAATCTCTTTCATTTACTAAATGAGGAAGCAACTAGGAAGAAGACGAAGAAGAAAATTGAACTTCGCTAAACAGCAAATTGAATTGTTTCTATTAAGAGAATCAATTTGCAGTTAGAACAGAATCAAGAACAACGTAGCAGTAGCTATATACATTTGCAGCAAGTAAAAGCATTATGTCGGAACTTGACCTAAGGGAAATATAGGATGTGCAACGATGAGCGCGTACATCATAGTTGCTCATAAACAAACTGATATTAATATGATTTCAGAATCACTATGGTCTATGCCACATCTCTACCGTGCCGTCAATGTGGAGGTCAGATCATAACAAAATTTAAGGTGGAATTAAAACTTCTGTTTGATGCTTGTTTTATATTATGGCGGTTCTTAACTAAAAACGTCTACATTGTGTCTTACCTCTCCAGTAAAAAGTACGGGGCGGCTGCCTTTTGCTGCCTCAATTGCATCGAATTTGTTCTCATTCTCAGCCCTAATTCTATGAGCAGACCATAGTGATGAGGCACCCTTCATATCAGAAAAAGCCAATGAATTAGACCGTTCAAGCATGCATGCAGAAAATAGGTATCCAAAACTATAAAAATAGATGCACAAATTCCTTTGGGCAAGTAGTCACACTGTTGTAGCCATACTCCTACTGAAAAGTTTACCTGGCAATATATGCTTTCATGCAAAAGAGCATATAAAGGGTTTGCGTCAAATGCTATCCATCTCTCATACTGCAATGTCACAAGGAATTCAAATCAGCAGATATCATCATCCAGCTCCTGCACTTCTAAATACATCTCGAATTACCAAGAAAATGCTGGCAGCTCATTCTCACAAAAATGGGCCAGAATTTCAGATCCTTAGCATCTCCTAAATGAAAAGAATCTTACAGTCTACAGTAACAAATATGAAAAAAATCTTTTTTTCTTGTTAGCATTCAAGGACACAACACTTCTACAGTTATCTTAACACCTATATGTCGTCACCTCAAGTCATCATGAGCTGCTAATATGTCACTGTCCAAGATAATCCACATCTGAAAGAACTTTATTTTTGTCCAGCATCTTAAATTTATTTTGACCATGCAACAGAATATCAAATTTTCAAGAGAAACAAAACTGGTAATAACTTAACATGACATTTAATTTCTGGTTCATACGAGATCACACATTGCACATGAAATATTTTTGCATTCTTCCTTATCAGGATGGTCGCTCATGTGTTCTTTTCTCTTTCCTCCCTTTATTTTTTTATTTCTTCATTTGAAGTCAAAGCAGGATTAATTAGTCATGAATTATCCTATTCAAAAATTAACATCAAGAGAGTCGTTAGAAGTACCATATAAATAAACAGAGAAGAATGCAGGCCACTGAAAACTTTTATACCGATTAAACTGTACAAAAAGCATTTGAACTCAATGGTAAAAAATTTAAGGAGGATATCATGGCAGCATATTTAGTTCATGAACCATATTTACTAATTGCTGAACTAGATCTCTAGTTTTACGCAATATTAATCAAAATTAAACTCAGAGAATAAAAATTCAATGTTTTCTCTTTGAAACAGCGATATGTATAACTCACAGCATTCAAGAAGTAGTCACTGATTCTCCTTTTTGCTCCTTGAACTATTACAGGATCCCAGACTCTCTCAAACCTATAACCATTGTATGGAAAGGTGAAGATTCAAATGTATGATATTTTGGGGGAAAAGAAAAAGAGGAGATAGCAAAATGATGGCTTACAGGTAATGCAACCGTTCAAAACCAGTACTAGATCCTAGACCCGAGAGACCAAGAAGTTGTAGTCCTCGAGGTGTTAAGATGCCGCCAGATGGAAGAGGCACCTATGTCACACACAGAGAAAAGGAAGGAGATAGAGTAGGGTGCAGAGAGATAGAAACATTAACATTATTGGAAAAGTATGTATCAGATGGACTCATATGAAAAAAGTTATTGTATACAAGTATAGTTCCCTTACCCCTCCTCCTTCAGATTCTGCCAGGTAATTTACGACATCATGAACAATTTCAATATCCTGTGGAAACCTCTTGTAATATTTTTCATTCTGATGAACAAGCTGCTCAAAGCCTGCCCTGTAAACAGCATCAGCTGTGCATCCTTTTCCAATTGGAGGGAGTCCGCCGGTTATAAGAACGTGTTTGAGTCCTTTGGGAGCAAAACTCAAGTAAGTAACGGCACAAAATCCTCCGAAGCTCTGCACGATTATGGATCCAATCACACAGATGGCAATTCCAAGCATAACTAGTATCAGTATTAAGACTTCAATACATCATATGAGATGACAGTCGTACCTCAAAAGAGATTTTCAAATAATTTTCTAGAAAACATATAATCAAAGCGACAATGAAAAAAATGTTCTTGCAGTAGTCTTTTTAACAACTTGTTGAGAGAATAGCACGATCAGGTTAAGGAGAAAAAACAAATACTGAAAAGGGAAAGAACTATCCCACCTGTCCAAGTATTGTCCAAGGTCCAGCACCAGGGACAAGACGTTTTCGGATGAACTCAGCATCATGTACTATATTATCAGCTCGGAAATGTCTCAAGTAGTTAACTAAATCCTCAGCGGACTTCACTTGTGACATAGAGGATGGTGTTAATGATGTTGATAAACCTGTTCCCCTCTGCAGTAAAAGCATTGATAGAAGGAACACAGAAAATTGCTTATTTAAGTATGGTTGAACCAGAGAGATACAGAGAGGGGGAGAGAGAGAGAGTGCGCGCCTGATCCATTAAGATTACACGGTACTCCTCGCATGCTCTGCTTATCCATCCTCCAGCTTCAGTTGGCCTTGGGCATTCAAAGCCCGGTCCACCTTGCAAATATAGCAGATATGGCAAAGGTTGTTCCTCCTTACCAACTGCAGTGTACTTGATAATCAGTAGAGAGCATAAATTAACCAAAATAAGGTTCTTCCTCCTTCTCAAAATAAATTAACCAGAAACTGTTCCTAATAGAAAATACTAACAGTTATTACTCATAGAATCAATATATACGCGTGCTAAAGTGCGTAACTTATTAACTTAATAGAACAAATGTGAAACAAGTAATTTAGTTTTGAATCTAATAGCTTAAACAGTATTTGGAAAACTACTCCTACTACTTCATATCAGTTAAGCTAAAAGTTAATGCTTCACTTCAAGAAATTACCTTCTTAGTTCTCTATGAGCTAAACCAAGACCAAACACTGCCTAAAATACGAATCAAATAGAATCAGCACATAATCACGCTAATGTCCATAAGTTAACGGAACAAATGTGAATCCATCAATCAAACAACTATACCTCAATCCAAAGTTAGTTGCAATCCACTATATGAAGATCATTAGACAGAGTAAACAAATGAAAATCCATAATGATGAACCAAATTAGAGTAACATATACCAGCAACGACTTCCCGAGCGAATACGGAGATTTTAGGGGAGGAAGAGTGATCGAGAGAGTAGTTGAGAGGAACGTTAAATCGATGATCGCGCAATCGGAGGTCGGGAGCGGAATACCAACCGCCGGCGATGTGGTCCGCCGTGGAGTTTCCGTCGACGGCGGCCATCTTGTTGGCGACCGTGGCAGTTAGTTTTGGGAGTGAAGGAGTAGTGAAGGAGTGGGAGTGGAGATATTTTGTTCGAAGTGGAGAGAGCGAAAAAATGGGAGTAGAAAATGGGAATCGGAGGTGAAGATGGAGGAGTGGCTTTATCAATGACGAATGAAGTGCCCGCATTTTGACTTCCGAGTTTACTTTGTTGGTCAAGAGTTATCTATTTCATACTATCCAACTCATGAAAAAAGGTGATAATTCTAATTACTTAGGAGTACATTATTTATCTAAAAAAAATAAGAAGAATTAATTATATACTCCCTATATATATTATGCATAAAGAGAAGGTACAAGCTATAATATTTCACACTAGAAAAGAAGATGGTGATAAGAATGGAGAGTGAGGGTGTGCTATGCTTCATTCTTCTTTAGCAACCTAAGAGAAATAGATCATTTTTCTATCTTCCTTATTTTACTTACTATATTTGGTAAGTTATTTTTCTGTAGCATTAAGCTTACCTTTTGTCGTAGTATTAAATATACTATATTTAATTGGAAAAATAAAAAAGTTCAATTTCATCCAAATTATCGACTCATCAAAATAAAAATATAAGAGAAAAAAAGTTTTGTCACTTGCCGTGAAGTTTGAAAGGCACCAACTAGAACTTCATAAATCATAAAATAGGAATATAAAATTAAACTTGCACACATTTAAACTATCCGATAAGCTTATGAGCGATACCATTCCATAATAGATTAATATTTCTGAGCTTTAATCTGACACCCTTTTAACAATAAAATTAGTTCAAAAACTGAAAGAAATAGAAATTGAAATTATAAAAACATATAGTACAATTTACAGAACTCCAATATAAATTCAGAAGTGTATATTTTTAAGTAGTGCAATTTATTTTATAATTTGCTAGAGGGAGACCCGCGCAAAATTGTGTGAGACTTAGACTATCCAATCCCAGTACGAGGTTTCACATTCAACTGGCAAGTACCGCTGCTTCTGAAACTCTGAGAACAATGAAACTCCCAGCTACAACAAAATCCCTCCTTCATCTTCCTAAAACAAGCACTATCGTCGGACTGAGACACTTCTCCGGTGAGCTCGACGATCCACATAAACCGCTTCCGCCGCCGCAGCCAATCTCAGAAATAGTGTCCCTCCTCAACACTACCGATCACAATGACTGGAATTCCAACCCACAGCTTGTTGAATTCCTTCACACCCCTCCTTTTCCAACTTCCCTTCTCAAAATCACCCGTCAATTGGGATCCACGGAAAAAGCTTTACAGTTCTTTGAATTCTTCAAAAGTCGTAGCTCCAGTTCATCATCAAGCCCTTCTTCTCTTTCCTTCACATTTCAAGCTATTCTTGAACAAGCAATGCATGAAGAAAAATCTGACGTAACCAGTAAGCTTTACCAGCTTTTTTCCTTTGCTAAAGATAGAGAAATCCCTTTATCTATTAATGCTGCGACTCTTCTTATACGATGCTTTGGCCGAGCCAAAATGCTTGAGGAATCGATAGCCGTGTTCAATGCACTAGACCCTGAATCAAGAAACACAAATGTGGTTAATTTGCTGTTAGATTGCCTGTTTCGTGGCGGGAATACTGATGATGGGTTCAAGGTGCTCGACGAAATGCTCGAAAGGGAGAGTAGTTTCCCGCCGAATGAGAGTACGATGGATATTGTTTTATCTGCTATTTGGAAGAGAAATTGGGTTGGGAGGAGGATGAGTGTGGAGGAAATTTGTGGACTTGTTGTGAGATTCTTCGAACATGGTGTGTTCTTGGATGATGTGTGGCTTACTAAATTGATTACCAACTTTTGCCGAAGCGGGAAGTGTAATAAGGCTTGGGACCTTTTGCATGATATGATGAGGTTGGGTGGTCAGGCGGAAGCTGTTTCATTTAATGCCCTTTTGAGTGGGTTAGGTAGGGAGCGTGATTTTGAAAAGATGAATTTGCTTATGAATGAGATGAAGGAAAAGGAAATTAAACCAGATGTTGTGACATTTGGGATTCTCATCAATCATTTATGCAAAAGTTACAAGGTCGATGAGGCAATGCAGGTGTTTGAGAAGATGGGAGGCAGTGAAAGTGATGGCGTTCTTGTTAAGCCGGACCTTGTTATCTACAATACATTGATTGATGGGCTTTGTAAGGTAGGGAGGCAAGAAGAAGGGTTTAAGTTGATGGAAAAGATGAGGCTGGAGAGTGGATATGAACCTAATACTGTTACCTATAATTGCTTGATAGATGGTTTTTGCAAAGCAGGCGAGATTGAGAGGTCATACGAGCTTTTTGACCGGATGAAAAAGGGCGGGGTTGTGCCAAATGTGATTACTCTGAATACTTTGCTTGATGGAATGTGCAAGCATGGGAGAGTTAACAGTGGTATAGAGCTTTTTGCTGAGATGCAAGGGAAAGGTGTAAAGGGGAATGCGATCACTTACACCATCCTCATTACTTCCTTTTGTAGTGTCAATAATATTGACAAAGCAATGAAGTTATTTAATGAAATGTCAGAAAATGGGTGCTTCCCTGATGCCAAAGTGTACTACAGTTTGATTTTGGGCCTTTGCCAGGCTCGAAGAACGACCGAAGCTTCCTGTGTCGCTTCAAAGGCGAAAGAAGCTGGGTTTGGGTTGGACATTATCTGCTATAATGCTCTGATTGGGGGATTTTGCAGGAAAAATAAGATTGATGAAGCTCATAGTATGCTTAGAGACATGGAGGAGGCAGGTATCAAACCTGATCGCTACACCTACAACACTTTGATATCATATTTCAGCCAGAAGGAGCAATTTGCAACTGCCCGTAGAGTTATGAAGGGGATGATTGATGATGGTTATTTGCCTAATGTTGTTACATATGGAGCACTAATACATGCATATTGTTTAGCTGGAAATGTTGATGAAGCTATGAAAATATTCCAGAATATGAGTTCTTCTACAAATGTGCCACCAAACACTGTCATATACAATACTTTGATCGACGCTCTCTGCAAGAGTGACAAAGTAGAAGCTGGTATTTCTTTGTTGGGTGATATGAAGGACAAAGGGGTAAGACCAAATACCATCACATACAATGCCATCTTTAAAGGCCTTCAGGAAAGGAATTGGGTGGAAAAGGCATTTGAAATAATGGACCAAATGACTGAAAATGCATGTAATCCTGACTACATTACCATGGAAGTCCTAACCCAATGGCTTTCTGCCATTGGTGAAACAGAAAAATTGCGAAGCTTTCTGGAAGGATATGAGGTTTCTACTTCAACTGCCTAATACTAACTGGAGTGGAGGATATCCTTCCTAGTTCCGCTGTGATATTCACTGGGTATGGTGGAGATTCTTTTACAGTCAGTTGAGGTCCCATTTGGATACCTTTCTCAGCCTTTCGGCTAAGATCAAGTGGAATGTGCGAGGCCCCATTTGATCTTCAAGCTCTGTGCTGTCATTTGAGATAGCTGCTTTGATGCATAAGTTGTTGAGTAGGTACACAAATCATGTTCTATGAAGACATCTCCATCCATCTTGCCCTTCTGATGAACTGAAAATCATTCCAACATGACAAAATGATGTTACAAGTTTGGTGGGTGTGCTACGCCAAGAATTTTTGTATTTTGACATTTCATCCAAGTTGTAGTTGGTTTAATGCAAGATGAAGTTTATGTATGCTTATACTGTGTCAACTTTGTTTTGAGCTTAATATTTTGGCTTTGGACGTATCTCAATGCTATTCCTCTTTCCTTTTTATGTATACGAGATAGAGAATCAAATAACTAGTGAGTTCCTTTGAACATTTCGTGAATTTGAGTGTGAGATGTAAGCACCAACACTTTTATGATCCTTCATTTAAAGGAAAGAAGAACATAGTGTTCTTGCTACTAACTTTTTCTCTTTCAAAAATATGAGATGTACTTGGGTGATTAGTTAAGGTTCTTTCTATTTCTTGATAAAGCATTTTTCAGAGCTTTCAGGTCAAACTTAAGAAAATTCTTAAAACCAATAATCAAGTGCCAGTGTTTGCTGAAGCTGGTGGGCTTCAGTCCTATTACTTTGATTCTGTAATTCCTAAAAGCATCATAACTATTCATCGTCTTTGGTCATTCTTTCTAATGCCTAAAGTTCCTCTTCCACAGATAGCATTCAAGTTTGATCATCATTCTCTACGGTGGAAAGCCTTAAAACCTAGTACTTCAAGAAAACAGACTCAAATTTCTTACCTGGATCTATTCAATGGCCGAGGTTCAATCCCTAAATCTTTCTATTTCCTGTCTTCTCGATATACACCATGTCATTCTTTTGCTCTTCAAGGTTGAAGAAGTGAATATGAATATTTTGAGTGTCTTGTATTTTCACAATAAGCGGAATGAGATTACCCTTTTTATGATATATGGTGCTTTGTCCTTGAATGCAGTGTTCATGCTTGGCCTGTAAGTTTTCTTTCTTTTTCCTATTTTGCTATAACAGTCTTTTTTTTTGGTTCTTTCCTAGGGAGAAATATGCTTTTCTGGCTCTTTGTAAATGTTTTGGACACATCAAACATGTCCTTATTAATTAAGGAGCTGGCTAATCAGAGCATAAACAGGGCATCTTAGAATGAAGTTCCTTGTCTTAATTGAGGAGTAAAAGGTGATTGGAGGAGTTCCTTTCTGCCTGAGCATTTCACTCCCCGGTGAATTTTACTCTTTCACGGCGATCTTTAGGTTGAAAAATGTTGAAAATTAAACTTTGAAGTTTGAACTTTCATTTTCCAATAGTTAGAACTTGGAATGCCACCCGGTATTTGGAGGTGTCTAATTCAGTCGAAAAGCAAAACTTGTGGCTGTTGGGGATAAATTGGCAAGCAAATTTCCCAAGATTCCATTTGGTAGGACTCAAAATCTCCAAACATAATTAGTAGCACAAACACTCAAGCACACTAACATGAACAACCACCACAAAATGTATGCAAAAGTTAACAATTGAAAAAACTCAAATCATTGATAATGATTACTATAAAATTAACATTTTAACAGCCAAGGGATTTTTACCCAAATTCTATGTACCTTATCATCCAATATACTCCTATTATCCTAACAAAGAACATTGGAATCAAACTCCTCTTTTTTCCTTTGTTCTCTACAAGTCTCTCTACAATGATGGGGAATGGAATTATACCTTACACGTACAAAAAGAGAAACATAACTAAAAAAAAATT